CACGCAGGAGGATCCGAATAAACTAACTAGCTAAGCTAATTACTACGAATTATAAAACAAATGAAACAATCAACTAAACTAGCTAATTAATTATTACAACAAATTAGAACTAAATAATTACATGAATACAACATGAAAGAAATGATAAGCTAGCTATTCTAATTACTCCATCTAAGGAAACAAGGAATGCTCATGCATGCACGGATTTTCACCCGAAAAAGGCCACTGTTCTGCTGCCAGATGCCTCTGTTGCACAGTAAAACATTTGCACTGTTTTTCACCTAAAAACCAACTCTATTATGTTTCAAAAGTCCACTGCCTATTTTTTAAAGGTGGCCGGCAGGCTAAAAGTGTTGGCGTACCGGCCACAAATGATGATTTGTCGTCCACAAAAGATGGCCTAGCGACCACTAATGCCTAGTTTTTCCTGCTGCAATAGAGAGCAAACAGAGCAAGCATAGGGTATTCTCAAGGGTTGTTTGCACAACTTACACCTCCTTATCATCAAACAGCTCAAAGGAGTAGTAAACTTGATTCACAAATCATCAATCAATGCAATTTCATTGCATGATGGCCTATGAACGAAAGGGTGCAAGTTTAATAAATACAACAAATAAGACTCTCAAACCCCCTCCTTATCATGGATGATCAAGGGAAATGGTTGACAATGACTCTTAAACCGTTTTCATCACTAATGAGTATGAAATGACTCAAGACTCAAGGGTTCAATTAACGTCTGATTGAACCCAAATTAGGTTATTATCTTGCATCATTTTAGTCCAAGTTGTATTACTTCATTTTAATTACCTTTTCATTCTTTAATTCACCAAGTCCAAAGGTGAGCTTTAAGTCCTCTAATGGAAAGAAGCATCAAACCAAGAGTTGTTTTAGACATGAGAGAAGTGTCATGCCACTAGTAATGAACCCCCAAAGGGATTGAACCATTAAGCATAAGACCTCAATCTCATGCTTAAACAAGCAACTAGTTTGAACTAACTTTCAAAGCAAAGCAAAAGCCAAGAAATGAGGGAGGTTAGAGAGATGATTAGAGGTGATCACATGTAAGAAAAACAAGAAATAAATGCTATCAACTCAAATAGATTGGTAGCTAAGGCCCAAAACACCAAACCTATGAGGACAACTAAACTACAAGCATGCAAAACAAAGCATAAATGCAATAAACACCTAAAGCAGTTCCAAAATAGTCTTAAAACATGCAAAAGAAGTGCTAGAATTGAGACAAAAATAGCTAAAATAGTAAGCTACAACATGAAGCTATGTAAGCTAGTGAACATGACACAAGGAGAGGAGGCTAACCCCTCTAATTTTGGACTTCAAAACATGTTTTTAGCCACTGAAATAACTCTGAAATTCAGTATTTAAAAGCTCAAAAAAAGATATTGTAAAGGTGGGAAACACGAGGGTAAAGGCTAGAGAAGCAAGGTGGAAAGAAAGGTGTACCACCCCTCCACCCTTTAAGGCCTTACACCACAAGTTTCAGCCCAAAAATACAGAGTTTATACATCCCAAAAATAGTAGAAAAATAGTAGGAAAAGAAGCAACCAAAGTAATGAAACAGGCAAAGCCTTATACCTCTTGAAGAGAAGAGCACTTTTAAGCAACAATTCAACACATACACACCCTCAAATAGCTCAAAGTAGGCTCAAAAGTACCTCAGCTCAAAGATTGCAAGGTTTGGTTAAGAGTGTATAGGCAAAAACTCAAGAAATTTCAAGAGAGAGAGAGAATTGTAAAGAGAAAATTAATTTTTGCTCTAATTTTTCTAACCTTTAAAAATGGAAGAGGAGGTCCTCTATTTATAGAAAAATATCACACTCCCTTAGAAACATCCATCCATACACATGTAGGTAGATGCAAACATTTGTGCAAACAGCTGGCACAACTGGCAGAAAATATTTGCAAAACACACTTGTGGCTAGCAAGCCACACACTTGGCTGGCAAGGCACAAGGGTGGCTGGCAGCCAAAAGGGATGGCCGACAGCCCACAAAAATGGGCTTGCAGGTCCCAAGTTTTTCAGGTTTGAAAGGCTAGGGTTTTGGTGCAAAAACAAGGCACAAGGTTTGCAGGGTTTTGAGGCTCAGAGCTGTGGCATTCCGCTGAGGACTTTTGAGCACTTGACAAGCATATACATTCATCATTGGGTGTGCCAGTGATGGTACCCAGGTCGTAAGAGCGGTCAAAATGGGGTGTCTACACTTTACAATAGAAAGCAGGGCAATAAATACAACATTGTGAATTTCTAGGACGTGCCTACAAGTAGGCTACAAGCACTACCAATTTGTCATTTTTACTAGTATTAACCGGAAGGCTCGACATCTAACTGTGCGGGTTTTTAGACTTTCACCAAGGACACACAAGCCAATTTAATACCACAACTACACTCTTACCCAGATTCACCAAGGTATTCATCCATTTTCTCAAAACAACAACATTTTCAACGTGTTAAGTATGCAATTATGCTCAATGCAACAACAAGAAAATAATTTCAGTTCTCCTAATTCTCATGCAATTTCTACAATAATCATAGCTATCCTCCACCGATAGCCCAAAACAGATATCTCTAAATAGATAAATAATTTTCATAAAGATAAACTTTCCAAATTCCAAGATGGGAGTGGTAACACATACCCAACTCCACCATCCTCATCAATATCAATCCAATTTCACATTTCCAACATCAATTCCAATTATTTATACAAAATCAACATTTAAGATATTTAGGGCAAAAACCCCCCATTTTCTTCCTAAATAAATTTCAAGTATCAAAACCACCCATTTTATCATAATTACACCTCATTTCCAATCCCACCATCATTTTCAAGAATCCATTTGAAAACCCCTTTTTTGAGTTTTATTTCCAATCCCACCATCATTTTCAAGAATCCATTTGAAAACCCCTTTTTTGAGTTTTAGCCCAAAACCCTAGATTTGTTCAAAAATTCCTAAATCACAATATTGTTTCAAAACATGAGTAGCCAAGTTAAAAATCATTAAAAAAAAAAAGTGCAGGGAAATCCTTATCTCAAGCTTAGAAGATGGGAGAGAGAGTGGAGAAACTTCAAAAATGCCGAAACCCAACTTTGTTCCGATTAGGACAAAGCTCTAGATGAGCTCTACCTTTTTAATAAAGGAACTAGGGTGAAGATATAAATTGATCTAGGTGTAGTTGTAGAGAGAATGTGAGTTTTAGAGAGAGAGAGAGAATCTAGATCTAGGGTTTTTAGAATGTTTAGAGAGAGAGGGAGATGAAAAAGTGATCCAAAAAGTGACTTCATCGGATTGATATACGCACAGATCGCTCGAGTGCAAGAATGGTCGCTCAAGTGACCAGACACAACAAAAACACCACCTGAGCAAAAATGGTCACTTGAGCACACAATGCACCCCTCCTAGTAGTTCAAACCTATAAAAGTTCGCTCGAGCACAATGCACCCCTCCTAGTGGTTCAAACCTACAAAAGTTCGCTCGAGCGCAAGAAGTGTCGCTCGAGCGTAGATATCAAACTCTCAGTAGTTTTGCAGACTATAAAAGATCACTCAAGCGAACAAGCAAAATTCTAGGCAACACAGTTTTGAAAAGTCTAACCCCCTACTTGTTTTCAACCCAACCAAGACACTCCAATAGTCAAACTCAACAAGGAATAAGATGAATCAAGACATGAATAGTGATACAAGACAAGATATCCCAAACCCAAAACAATAAACGGGTCGGGTCTAAACTGGAATTGTTATAAATCTCATTAAGTAGTAAATGAAGTCTAATGAAATAGTAAGTGAATTCTCATTGAGTAATACGTCAAATCTACTTACAATGAAACAGTAAGTGTAGTTTTATTGAATAGTAAATGGTATTTAATTGAGTAATAAATCAAATTTAATAAAGCATTAAGTAGAGTCTCGTTAATCAGTAAGTGTAGATTAATTAAATAGTAAGTGAAATTTAATGAAATAGTAAGTCAAGCCTAATAAAATAGTAGGTGGAGTCTCATTGAGTAGTAAGTCAACTCTAATAAAATAGTAAATGGAGTTTCATATTTAAGAAAGTGAAGCCTAATGAAATTATAAATAGAGTCTTATTGAGTGGTAAGTGAAATCTACTTATAATAAAGTAGTAAGTGAAATTTTATTTAATAGTAAATCAAGTCTAGTGTAGTAGTAAGTAGAGTTTAATTGAATAGTAAATGAAAATTTATTGAGTAATAACTAAAGTCTAATAGAGTAGTAAGTAGAAATTCATTAAATAGTAAGTCGAGTTTAATTAAGTAGTAAGTAAAGTTGAATGAAGTAGTAATGAAAGCGAATTGAATAGTAAGTAAAGTTTTATGCAAATAGTAAGTAGAAACTCATTAAATAGTAAGTAGGGTTTAAATGAGTAGTAAGTGAAATCTAATCAAATTATAAGTGGAATCTCATTGAGTAATAACTTGAGTCTATTTATCATGATGTATTAAGTAGTAAGTCAAGTCCACTGAAGTAGTAAATGGAGTTTATTTGAGTAGTAACTAAACTTTAATAAAGTAGTAAGTGAAAACTCATTAAGTAATAAGTGAATTCTAATGAAATAGTAAGTAAAAGCTAATTAAATAGCAAGTGGAAGATTATTGAGTAGAAAGTGAAATTTAATTGAGTAGTAAGTAAAATCTAATGAAGTAGCAAGTGAAAACTCATTGAGTCGTAAGTGAAGTGTAATGACGTAATTTCTAATTTCTTGTGATGTCCTCATATTTTAACCCATTTTATAATTATCAATCCTTTATTAATTTCCAAATTCATAATATGAAATAAGAGTTAAAGAACTTTTCACGATAATGCAATCCAATTGGTGAAAATCACAGTCTCTACATGGGCTTCGCTTTTTACAAGAGATTTAGGCTTGATTCTTGGTGAGAAGAGAGATTTCTAAAGAGAGAAAGTTAGGGTATTTTTGTAACGTCCCCAAAACAATTACAGTAATCCAACTCCAAAAACCAGTACAAAGTGATAGAGATACAATAAGAAGCTTTCATTGATCAGAGTCAATATACAAAAGGTGACACATGCGATATATATTCATAAATTGTTCATCCTGAATCTACAGCATGTGTTACAAGACGTAATAGAGGATGAAAGCTATAGAGAAATTTATATGCCCTAAAGGCATAAACCTTTCCAAGACCGTACTTGGTTACAACAAAATGAGTCATAAGCTCAATACAAATAAAGCCCTAGGCTTGTACAAAAGATAATTTCAAAGTGAACAAAAGTGAGCCTTCAGCACCACAATCCTCCCAAGCTAAGTCCTTAGCGAAGGCATATCATCAGCACCTGAAAATAATTTTTCCCAAATAGGGTAAGCCAAAGCCCAGTAAAAACAATCTAACACAATATATGAATCTTAACAAATATATAAGTATAATGTGCATATATAATGCCTGTAATAAACTCATTCATGTTCTACAAGATCATAATATGCCAAGTTTTATGTCTCAATTCATTTCAAGTCAATTCATTTCACCTCAACTCATGAGTCAAATTCATTGTTTTCCAGACAACCCAACAAAGGCTACAACTCAGTGGTTCTCTAATCAATACAACCATTACACAAACACTTCAATTTGCCATTTTACGAAAATTTCGTCTGCGAGAATTGGCACCCATGTATACGCGCGATTTTCAGGACTTTCACCCTAGACACACAGGCCAATGTAATTCAATGGAGTTCATCCCTTTTCTTCTCCCAAACATGGAGTACATCCCATTTCTCCTCCCAAATATCATACATATACAATGTATTAAAACACAGTCATATTCAATGACAACAGTTAAAAGATTAGTTTCAATTCACCTAATCCTCATGTAATTTCTACAACAATCATAGTTATCCTCCACCGATAGCCCGAAACAGATATTTCTAAATAGATATACAATCTCCAAGACAGATAAATTATCCAAATTTCCATAGGTGAGAGATAATACACATCCAGCTCCACCATTTATATAAACATTCATCTGATTTCATATTCTCAATGCCAATTTCATTATTAATACAAAATAATCATTTGAAACATTTTAGGGAAAATTTTCATTCTCTCCCAAATCCAACCCATGTGTCAAAATCAACAAATTCAACACAACATATCCTCATATCTATACCCATAACCATTTTCAATACCTTCATTTGAAAATCCCTCTTTTGATTTTAAACCAAACCCTAGGTTTGTCTAAAATCCTCTAAATTCCAACATTATTCACACAACAACATATAACTAAGTTAAAAATCATAGCAGATTGTAGAAAGCCCCCACCTCAAGCTTAAAAGACGAAAGCAACAATGGAGGAACTTCAAAGATGCCGAAACCAAATCTTGTTCGTGCCAAAATGGAGCTCTTGAGACGCTTTACTTTCTTATCAAAGAGAGTAGGGTAGAGAGACCACTAGATCTAGATGAAAATGTAGAGAGAATGTAAGTTTTAGAAAGAGAGACCCTAGATCTAGGGTTTTTGAAAAGTGGAGAGAGGGAGATGTGAAAAAGTGATGTAAAATGTCACTTTTACGGACTGAAATACGCACAGTCCGCTCGAGCGTGATAAGTGATGCTTGAGCGTTAGACATAATAAGTTATTCCACTCGAGCGTAGAATATACTCTCCCAGTAGTTTTGCAGACCTGCAAAAGTACTAAGAGTTTGCAAAGCCCGCTTGAGCACAAGAAGTGCCGCTCGAGCGGAGGAGCAGAAATCTGGGCAACAAAAGTTTGGAAACTAAGCAACTAACCTGTCCCAAACGTAACCACAACAACCCAATAGCCAAATTCAAATAAATACAAGGGAATCAAGATAAGATCAACAACAAGAAACCATGAAACCCGAGTCCGGGATACAACAAGGGTCGGGTCAAAACCGGAATCACTATAATCTTCCCCCCTTAAAGAATTTTGTCCCCAAAATTTCAAATCAAGTTTTAAAACTAAGTTAAACCAACTACAACCATAATGATAATAATTCAATTCCATCACCATGATAGACAAATTCTCAATACTGAATACGCAATTCATATTTCCAAAACATATCCAATGTTTATAATAAACTCGCATTTCCAAAACATAAACAACATGTACGATGTTTCCGTATTTTCAAAACATATAGAATGTTTTCATATTTCCTTAACACAACGACAATACAATACATATTCAAACATTAACAAATAAGTTCGGATACTTCTCACAGACTACCAACTCACGTTCCCAAGTTGCTTCCTCAACCCCGTGATGTTTACACAATACCTCAACCACGGGAATTGTCTTGCCTCGCAAGACCTGGTCTCAAGTATCCAAGACTCTCACCGATCTCTCTTTATACGAGGCATCCTCATCTACCTCTAAGTCGGTCCAATCCAACACGTGTGATGGATCCAGCTCATACTTCCGAAGCATACTAATATGGAACATATCATGAACCCCGGAAAGTTGTGGCCGTAAGGCCAAACGATAAGCTACCTCTCTGATCCACTCAAGGATCTCAAAAGGTCTAATGAATCTAGGGGATAACTTCACACTCTTGATAAGCTACCTCCCCAATCCGCTCAAAGATCTCAAAAGACCCAACGAATCAAGGAAACAACTTCCTACTCTTTCCAAACCTCATCAAATCCCTCCTAGGTGATATCTTCAAGAAGACATGATCTCCCACCTCAAAAGACAAAGGTCTTCTCCTACAGTCGGCATAACTTTTCTAACAACTCTGGGCAGTAACCAACCTCTTACGAATCAGGGTAACTTTCTCCGTTGTCTCCCGGACTAACTCTGGATCCAACATTGGTGCATCACCCACCTCGGCCCAACACACAAAGGATCTACACGGTCAACCATACAAGGCCTCAAATGGTGCCATGCCAATACTTAACTGGAAGCTATTGTTGTAGGCAAACTCCACTAAGGGCAACTACTTCTCCCATAAACCCTTAAAGTTAAGGACACAATCCCGAAACATATCCTCAAGGATCTAAATGGAACGCTCGGACTGTCCATCAGTCTAAGGATGATACGTAGTGCTAAAGGTCAATCTTGTGCCTAAGGCACCCTATAGGCTCTGCCACAACTGAGCCATAAAGCACGGATCTCTATCCGAAACAATCGTCACAGGGACTCTGTGCAATCTCACTATGTCCCTAATGTAAAGGTCATCAAGATAATCTACCCAGTCACTCACACGGATAGGCATAAAGTGTGCTAACTTAGTCAACCGGTCAACTACCACCCAAATGGCATCACAACAAAATCCATCGTGACATGCTTCCACTTCTACTTGGCTACAGGCAAAGGTTATAACAAACCCGCTGGCTTCTGATGTTCGGCCTTCACTTGTTGACAAGTAAGGCACTTAGACACAAATACAGCCACATCCTTCTTTATTTCCCTCCACTAAAACTGGCGACAAAGGTTGTGATACATCTTTGCGCCTCCCAGATGCACCGCAAGGCGTGAATCGTGATACTCTCGGAGTACTTCCTCTCGGCAAGACTCTGCTATGAAGAGACAGTCAAGGTATCTAACACTCAAGTTGGAGTACATGTTCAAGCCTCTTTCTACATTCTCACTGAAAATTTTCTCCCGGAGGGATTCTACCTTAAGGTCACCCTTCTATGCTTCTATCACTCAGTTCACAAGTGTAGGTTGTGCAACTACCGCAAACAAGGCTGCAAACTCAATAGACTCACCAAGAGGCAAGTCATACTCTCTAATAGCACCTAGCATCTCCCATTCCCAGATGGCAATACATGCTACACTACTAATAGATTTCCTACTCAAGGCATCGGCCACAACATTGGCCTTCCCCGGATGATAATGTAACTCAAAATCGTAATCTTCTATGAACTCCATCCACCTCATCTGCCTCAGATTCAAGTCTTTCTATGTAAACAGATATTTTAGACTCTTGTGATCAAAAAATACTTCAAACTTCTCACCATACAAATAATGCCTCCAAATCTTTAAGGCAAATATTACCGCCGCTAACTCTAGATCATGAATAGGGTAGTTTCTCTCATGTGTTTTCAACTGCAGCGAGCCATAGGCTACTACCTTCCCTTCTTGCATCAAAACATAACCCAAACCTTCCCATGAGGCATCCCAATACACCGAATAACCCAAACCCATCTTCAGAATAACCAAAACTAGAGCAGTGGTAAGTCTAGCCTTAAGCTCTTGAAAAAACTTTTCACAAGTCTCACTCCGCACAAACTTGATCCCTTTCCTTGTCAGTCTAGTCAATGGTGAGGCTAGCTTAAAGAAATCTTTCACAAATCTACGATAATACTTGGCCAACCCCAAAAAACTACGAATCTCGAAAGCATTCGTAGGTTGTTCCCAATCTTACACTACCTCTATCTTGGATGAATCTACCACCACCCCTTTCTCGGATACCACGTGCCCTAAGAACTTAACTTCTCTCAGCCAGAATTCACATTTCCCAAACTTAGCATATAGTTTGTGTGCTCTAAGCAACTCAAGTACCACTCGCAACTGTTCATCGTGCTCCTTCTCAAAGGGTGAGTAAATCAAGATGTCGTCCACAAAGATGACCACGAAACGGTCTAGGAACTCACGGAAGATCCGGTTCGTCAAATCCATAAACACAGCTGGTACATTGGTTAGCCCAAAGGGCATCACTAGAAACTCGTAATAGTCATACCGCGTATGGAATGCCGCCTTTGGGATATCCTCCTCTCTTAATTTCAACTGGTGATAATCCGATCTCAGGTCTATCTTAGACAAGCAGCAAGACCCCTTCAACTAATCAAACAAATCATCTATACGAGGCATTGGGTACTTGTTCTTAATAGTTACCCAGTCTAGCTTTTGGTAATCTATGTAAAGTTGCAACGTACCATCTTTCTTTTTGGCAAAAAGGGCCAGTGCTCTCCAAGGTGAAGTACTAGGGCAGATAAAATCCTTATCTAATTATTCCTGGAGTTAGGTCTTCAACTCACTCAACTCGACAGGTGCAAATCTTACTACAAGAAATTGCACTTTTGGCGACTAAATTTTTAGTCGCCAAAAGTTTTCCCGACTAAATAGTTTGGTCGCCAACTTGGTTACGGAAAGACGGTCGGTGAAGGTATTGGCGACTAAAAAAATTTTAGTCACCGAAAGTCCTAAATTGGCGACTAAACAAGTAGTCGCCAAAAGTAAAGGTATTGGCGACAAAAAAAACTTTAGTCATTACTTTGCTAAATTGGCGACTAAAAGGTTAGTAGCCAATTTATTTAGTAGCCAAAAGCTTTCAAAAAAAAAATTTTATCGCGTTTTTAGCGACTAAAACATTTAGTCGCCAAAACTAAATTTATTTTCCACGACTAATTTATTTAGTAGCCAAAAAGATTTTTTTGTTCATCTTATTTTTTTTAGCTACTAAATGTTTTAGTCGCCTGAAGTATAATTTTTTTTAGCTACTAAAAATTTAGTTGCCTAAAGTCTATTTTTTTATTTGGATACTAAAATTTTAATCACCAAAAGTTTTTTTATTCATTTTATTTTTTTTTAACAACTAACTATTTAGTCACTAAAAATATTTACTGCCTTTTTGGCTACCAATTATTTAGTGGCCAAAAATATGATATTATTTTTTTTTAATTTGTCCTTAACCTGTATGTATTTCGTGCAACCTATACCATGTATATAAACAAAACAATACATATATTATCAATCATTTCGCAATTTGCATCCATTTCACTTCCAACCATCCAAACAGGAATAACTTAATGTCAAATTCCATACAAACTAAGTATATTCCAATCTAAAATAATAATTCCATACAATTATATGAAAACCATTATATTCGTATAGACTCTAGGGATGATAGTGAACTTTTGAAAAGTCTGTCCAATATTAAACCTCATTTTCTAGAGGTTCAACTATATCCTTATCTTGAATGTCACTATGAAAAGCATGCTTCCCGCTGTTGTTACCATTTGTCATATGTGATTTCTCCTGCTTCTCTTTGTATAAACTTTGCAAAAACAAGTTTTTCTTGTGAGGTTCAGATACATGAGTGGAGAGATCAATAGTCTTGCATGTTGGCAAAGTGAATGTTAGGTCCTAGTCATTAAAACTCAACTCTTACAGATCCAATCTTTACATTCAAATGGACAAAGAGAGACACCTACTATATGCATAATAGATCAACACTACATAAAAACTCACATTATCCCAAAACAACAAAAAACCCCATATAATTTTCCATCACCACCATTCCAAAATGAGCAAATTTCCCAAAACTAGTGTCAAATAAATTGTTGCGTACTAATACACCCTCAGATAGACAAAATGACAAAACTAATGCGAAAATTATAATATCCAGCAACAAGCATTCAAACCAAAAGATAAGAGAAGAAGACAATTTAAATTCCTTAGCACTCCAAGTACATGAATGAGTATAAATGAATATAAGTTTTCATGGAAGTCAGGTAGTATCCCAATTTTATACCATATCAATTTTTACATCATCTCAAAATTTTAATACAAAGCTTAAAATTCTAAAATTGTATTAGTCTAAATATTTTTAGTCTAAATATTAGTCTAAATTGTATTACATCATCTCAAAATTGTATTAGGCTAAAATTCGAAAATTGTATTAGTATTCCAATTTTATACCATATCAAGGGTAATGACAAATAACAACAACAACAACCAACCAACCAACCAACCAACCATATAAGTACAATGAACACAACATTAGACAACTTTCTACAAGAAATTTTGTTGAAGAGAAAAATGCCTGCACAGTTGCTAGGCAAAAGAGTGCAATCCCAATGTTGCGATGATGAGTGTATTGCACCCCCTTTGATTCACTTCCAAGCTTAAGTCATGTTCCCCATCTAGCAACCCCAATAACATAGGAAGAAAACTGGCAAAGGCTGTGGAGATCAAACCAAGCAAGATCTGCCGACTAGAAAGTTCTCTAGTACCTCGCGATGATGGCTCCAACAGGAAACATGATTCCCCAACTCACAACATTCAAAACCCCATGAAGCTAACACAACAATAATCTAATTCAATTACCGAACGATAACTAAAAAAATTATTAACCGTTCCATTCTTTTCTGATTTTCTGATTTTCTGATTCTCTTTCTTTCTCTCTCTCTCTTTTACTCATTAACCGTTCCATTCTTTTTTGATTCTCAAATTCGTTTGTGTTCCTTGCTTGGTTACCAAGAAAATAGTGAACGTTGTTGAAAATTTTCAAAGTGCTAAAGCTAAAGAATGAAGATGAATAATTTAAAGAAAGTAAAGATAAATAGATGGGTTTTGCATGGCTTGAGTGATAGAATGAAAGCCAATGAGCCAACCAAAGCTGATCATAGATTGCTACAGTTGCAAGAAAGCCAGATAAAGTAGAAGAATGTTGAAAGATGAGGAATATAAACCTCTTTCTCTCTCTCTCTCTCTCTCTCTCTCTGCCAAAGAAAAAACCAAGCACTTCTCTTTATGCTATGCTTAACTCTCTTTAGTATTCCAAGCTCTTCACTCCATGCAATAAAAATCACACCCTTGGTTTCTTGTGCTTATTTGATTTCCCTTTCTCTCTCTCTCTCTCTCTCTCTCTCTCTCTCTCTTACTCATTAACCGTTCCATTCTTTTTTGATTTTCAAATTCGTTTGTGTTCCTTGCTTGGTTACCAAGAAAATAGTGAACGTTATTGAAAATTTTCAAAGTGCTAAAGCTAAAGAATGAAGATGAATAATTTAAAGAAAATAAAGATAAATAGATGTGTTTTGCATGGCTTGAGTGATAGAATGAAAGCCAATGAGCCAACCAAAGCTGATCATAGATTGCTACAGTTGCAAGAAAGCCAGATAAAGTAGAAGAATGTTGAAAGATGAGGAATATAAACCTCTTTCTCTCTCTCTCTCTCTCTCTCTCTCTGCCAAAGAAAAAACCAAGCACTTCTCTTTATGCTATGCTTAACTCTCTTTAGTATTCCAAGCTCTTCACTCCATGCAATAAAAATCACACCCTTGGTTTCTTGTGCTTATTTGATTTCCCTTTATGTCTCTCTCTCTCTCTCTCTCTCTCTAGAGTGTGCAGACCATTCAAAGCTTCCACTTAGAACCCCAATAGCTTACTTCATATATGGCCTTCTTTTGTCTCCTTCTGTACTATACCCTGCAGCTGATAGTTCTATTACCAAGAAACCTTTCATATGATGATTTTGATTTCTTTTCTATATTTTCTTCTAGGTAATTGTTGAGTGATAAAACCGTCCAAACAATTCCAAAATCACCCATTTCAGTTTCATAAAAACCACTAGCTCTACAATTTCACATACAACAAATTCATTTTTTATCTGGAAAAAAAATAAAAAAAAAAGTTTCTTTCAAAGATTAAAGAAACAAAAAAACAAATATAATACCTAAAACGGAAAGCAAAAGAAACAAAAAAAACATAGTTAGGCTTGTGGGTTAGAATTTTGAGAAGCCTAAGAGACATTTTATCAAACAGTTTGAAGGCATCATTTCATATACACATACAGAATTCAAACAGAATTCAAATTCCTAAAACCCCACCAGAACAATATGCCAATGAACCCATCATTTCATATACACATACAAATAGGTACAAACATATAAATCTACAAATTCAACAAAAGTTCATAGTTTCCTCTAGAATGTGCAAATGATTATTAGTACCTTCAAGATTCCAAGTACTCTGGTGACATCTTCCTTCATGAGTTTCTTCCTCAAATCCTTACAATACATCAAACTTAGAGCCTCAATGTAAACTTCAACATCATCACAGTCAGCAATCTCGACAATATAGGGGTTAGAAGTTCGCTGCTGCTTCGACCACCGATCAGAAAGCTTAACCGCGAAGAATCAATTGTGAGCAACCAAGATCTGCTGATGAACATTCAAGGAAATAGTGAGTTTGTCCTTGGAACTCAACGTGAGCTTCACATCGCTCGAATTGAGGAGTCCATAACTTGAGGAACAGTAGTGGGCGAGTAATGAATCTTAAGATTTGACGGAGAGTCAACAAGCGAAGGCAATAATGAAATGGAAATGGGGTCAGGGTTTGAGTAGCGATGGGAGGAGGAGGGAGGTGGAGGAGAGGGCAGAGAGAGAGGGAGGGAGAGGAGCAGCAGAGAGGGAGAGGCAGAGGGAGAGAGAGAGACACACACACAGGCGCTAGTTTGTGGTTTGGAAACCAATTATATATATATTACACCAGTAGCGACTAAACTTTTTTAGTCACCAATTAATTTATAAAACCCTCAAAAATTTGAAAAATCCCTCCAAATATTTTAGTTTTTTGGCGACTAAAATTTATTTTTCTCGCTGAAAATAAATTTTTGATAAAAAAATATTTTTTTAATTTCTGTTTGGCAACTAAATGATTTTAGTAGCCAAAACTCGATATACGGCAACTAAAATATTTTTTGTCGCTGAAAATATGTTTTTAGCGACCAAACTTTTAGTCGCTAAAGATAAAAAATAATTATTTATTTTTCATTCGGCGACTAAATGGTATTAGTAGCCAAAACTCAACATACGGCGAGTAAAATAATTTTTTTGTCACCAATTCTGGTATTTTTAGCTACTAAATATTTTTTTAGTCACCAATAATCAATATATCCTGACTAAAAAAAATTGGTAGCTAAATATTATATTTTTTCCGACTAAAAAATTTTTTGGTCGCCAATTCCATAACTTTTGGCAACTAAATTTTTTTTAGTCGCCAATTTTGATCGCCAAATGTGCATTTTCTTGTAGTGTCTATACAATGCCATAGAAATCGGTGTCGTGCCAGGCACTAAATCAATAGAGAACTAGATCTCTCGATGAGGTGGTAAACTGGTAAGATCCTCTAGAAAAACATCCGAGTATTCACAAACTACCATTGGCAACTCAACTCGGACCTCATCACACTCAATACTCAAGAAGTTGGCAAGAAGGAAACTAAGCTCACTCCATCCACACAGATCATACACCGATGATAAGACTCTATCCACCCGATCCCCCTGTAGACACCCCATTTTTGACCGTCCTCAAGACTTGGACGTCATCGTTTGAACACTCGATGATTTTCCATGTTCGTGTTCGTTTCGAGTTCCCAAAGGTCTCAGCTGCGTGCCTTGCCCTGGGATCTCTCAACTTGTCTGTTTTGTGCTTGGTTGTGGACCAAGGACTTGTGGTTTTGCTTCTGAGGAAAGAGGGTGGCTTGTTGGCCATCCCCACACCCTATCGGCTATGGCATGATGCCATCGGCCTTGTTTCCTTGCCATCGGCCATAAATGTTGGCCGGTTGGCACTTATTTTGGTCGATCGGCCATATTTTCTGGCCGATGCCTTTTCTTTGCCTTTTTCAGGCATTGTGCATGCCAGTTGTGCCAGCTAGTGAGCACGGACTCTCCCCTCCATACACGTGTATGGAGGAATTTGAACCAAAGCTTAGCTTCTCTAAGAAGCTTTGAATTTGATTTCCTATAAGAGGGGAGCCTCCCCTCCCTTTCCATAAGTTCAGCAAAATAGATATAGAGTTCATATATCCCTCTCTCTCTCTCTATATATATATATATATATCTCTATATTTGTGTGTGTGTTGGTGCCTTAAAGGTGTATTTTGTTCATACTTTTGCACTAGAGCACCTAGTAGAATACCTTCCTATGGTTGCTGAGGCACTAGGAAGTTGGTTTCAGAGTTCTTGGGCTGGTTTTGATCCAAAGGAGTGGCTGGAGTTGTGTTCTTGAAGGTGTTCTTCAAGGGTGAGCAACTAACCTTTTGTTTTCCCATTTTGGCATAAGCTTTTAGACCTATTTGCATATTGTTTCAAGCTTAACTATAAACTGAAAAAAGTTCTATTTTTGTGTGCTTAAGATGATTGTTTGAGGTCACTTTTTGGTTGGGGGCTGTCTACCCCCTCCTTGGCCTTGTTTGGCCTTGTTTTGAGCCACCTCTTTTGGCCTTTGTTCTTGCCTTTGCATGACCTTTCTACCACTAAAATCCAGAGGATTTTAAATGGTGGAAAGGTAGTTCTAGAGTCTTGTATAGGGGAGGGACACCCCTCTCTCCTTGTGTCTCATTTGCTTGTGTTATTGGCTCATAATGGTAGCATGTTTGCTTAGCGTGTTTTGGCTTCATTTCAGCAAGTATTTGGTGTCATTTGGTCATGATATACATCTTTTTTAGGTTGGTTTAGTGGTCTCTTGCATGCACCATGTACTTGCCTTATAATCCCCCCTATTGCCTTAACATGCATCTTGCATTTGGACTATCATGCTTGCATATTTTGGCTCAACTCAAAGGAACTTTTAGTCATATTTCAACATGCTAAAGCTCTGTTTGGTGTTGTTTTGATCATATATGCCATGTTTTGTATAGCCATAAGGCACCATAGCTTGTTAGCTTTGAGGGTCTAAGTCACATGAGTGCATTACTTGGCTCATTTCAATGATTTGGCATCATCTCATATGGTATTTCAGTCCATGTTTCATGCTCATATACTTGCATTTGCCATCCTTTCAAAGCTTTGAAGAGTTAGTGTCTTATGCCTTAAGAGTGCATCATTGTGCATGCCACCGTGCTTAGGCATTTGGGATGCTATCTAAGTGGGTTTTGGGGCTTATTTTGACATACAATAACTCTGATTTTTATTGGTTAAGTCATGCCATACTTGGTAGTATTAGGTCTAGTGTAACACCCCTTTGTAGCCTTACATGCTTCATGTTTTGTGCTCACCTTTCTAACATGTTTTGGCCTCATTCCATGCATGTTCTAGCCTTGTCTTGGTCTACCTTGGGACTGTTTTAAGTCACTTTGGCCCTTTGGGGCTCACTTGTTATGGTCATACTGTAAACCACTTTGCTAGCCTTAAGCCTTGAGCTTTCTTGCATGTTATGCTTGACTTGTATATATGATTTGGCATCATCCTTGACATCATTTCAGAGCATGTAGTGTTGTCACGCTTGCATGCTTTTCACTCTTTGAGTGCTTTCGAGAGTTGTCCTCTTTGTGCCTAAGTGATGGACCAATATGTGTACATGTTTGTTTTGCATGTTGGTGCCTTAGTTTTAGTGTTTTGGCCACTGATTGTGGCATGGCTGAGGTCTATCCATCTTCGGTATAAGTCCATTGGGTATGTGGTTTACATTATATGCTCGCATACTTAGATTGCATTACATTGTGCATGCTTGGCACATTACATGTTTGCGTGTTTAGGTTGCATGTCTATTGCACAATTAGTTGTATTGCATGACATTAATGCATACTTGCTTGCATACTCATATTGCATTGGGTTTGTTTGCATGCCATCAGTCTTGTTGCACTGCATAATGTCCCCATGAGGCATTGCATTTGGCATACTTGTATTGCATTATGTTTGGTTTGGGGTGTCAAGCCAAACACGAGGAACAAGGAACGTTCATACTTGAAGTGATGAAACGTGCCTCAATCCTCGGTCGCCGACGCTATTGATCGTACATGATAGAGTTCTAGGCATCCATGTTGTTTTTGTGCATTCATTTACATTGAATTGCACACTTGGCTCCTTTGGCCATCATGCATTGAAATGCGCGATTGATGGTCCGAGGGTCGAGAACCATACTCCCTTGAGTCCATGACATGATGGGGTGGGTGTTTGTGCACACATTGCCTTGAAAATGCATTGCCATGCTCTGTTTGTCCTCTGCTGTAGCAAAACAGCATTCTGCACGAAGATATGGCCAGTTGGCCATCTTCAGTGCCGATCGACTAAACATTGTTGGCCGAGATCCTCACAAATGGTCGGTGACCAATTCCACATGGCCGATGTTCCTATATCTTGGTCGGTGACATCTCACAGTGTTCAGGGAGTGGTTCGGAAGCATCCTTGGGACTTGTGCAGTTTTCAGAGGTGCAAAACAGTGCAAACAGGGGCAACATGTGGCATGGCAATGGGTTTCCGAGCGAGGCGATCGAGCATGCATCATTCAATCATTCCGAGGCGGAGCTGCGACGGCCTCTTTAGTTACATAGCTTAGTTAATTTGTTTAAATTAGTGAAGGGTTTTGTAATATTTAATTAGCTAGGGTAGTTGATTAATTATTCGGTTTGTATTATTTATTCGGACCCTCCGTCGAGAGGGCGGATTTTGTAATAAGTATGTGTGAGTGTGTGAATGTCTTTCAACCCCACGTCTTTCTCCCTTTTACTTACCTGCATTCAATGGTTAGTTTTAGGTCATGTTTCAATTAGCATCCTTATGCTCGCATGTTTGCATTCATTCGTCTGTCTTGCATGCATCGGGCTCAGCGCATCATACAAACTGCATAGTATTTCAATTCCAACTAGAATACGTGTATCGAGTTGTCGTATTCCACATGCCATTCTTAGATTGGCCGAGCCTATTCTAGTTGTATTTTTGCATGTATTGCATTAACCATCTTAACATGAACTAGGATCATGCATTTGATTACTAACTAGCTGTTGTTTTGGCTCGGAGTACTAGGTAAACGTTTACGCTTTAGCATACCGCATGTGTGTAAGTGTTGCCATGATAGCATGCTCGCCATGAGGCTACTTGCTTAAATGATATAACTGCATGAATGCCTGTGGGTGAAAGTTGGATTACTCGAATTGGAACAATTCATCGAAATGCGAGTTTTAAGCCCACCTAATTGTGGCAAAATCATGTTTTCTAAAGCCCACTTGAGGGTGGCAAATCCATGTCTTAGCCTACTTGCGAGTAGCACCGTCAAACCATTTTCAAACAAATATGAGATATTTTGTTCCAACTTAGGCGATCTAGTCTATACTTGTGTGTTGTGCACATCACATAGTAAATTCTAGCTAATAACCGGAATAAGAACGCATATGTTTTCAAAAACAAGATATCATGTTTAGTAGTGGCCGATCTTTGATCGGGCAAGCGGGGGTGCTCATTGCATGACCTTCCCCAATCGTACCCAAGTTCCCGAGCCAAGGCAACTTTGGTGATGACGGACATGTGGCCTTAAGCACGAGTCAGGGTTTCCTAAATTCTCCCAAAATAAAATATTTAGGTGGCGACTCAGTATCTGGCAAAGTAGTCCATGTTTGGCACTTCTTTCTTAAAAATTAGTTTTCCAAAATGATTTGTCGCATTTGGACTCTTTGGTGATTTATCAATCTCACATCGCACATTGTGAGATCAGATTAAGAACCGTGACATTTGAGTCCGAACTGTAGT